TACATTTTTTAATAAAACACAGCAACCTAATGGTAAGACATTTTCTCTGCTTGCTGATTTATTTTTTAATACCAACATGTTTTTTTTTTCAGGAGTGAACAGCTCAGTGCTTCTGCTGTCAGTCATATTAGCTAATAATGAGTTCTAATTGACCCCGAATGCAAACAAATCTGCCCTCTTTAAGATAATCAACACCACAAAGGCTTTACGCAACCAGTGGACTTTGATGTGAACACTGATTAGTCAAAATGTGCCCTGTGATGATGAGCATTCCAAAAGTATAAAGGTCCACAATAAACATAGCCTGATGCAATCTTTATTACAAGGGTTTTGTTTTTTACTTTGTTCTTTCAAAAAGGAATGGTCTACACTACTCTGAATAAACATTTTATCAGAACTTCTTTTATCATTTATAAAAAAAAATGTATTCGTACATCATGACAAAGTAACTAGAATTACTTAGAACTAGTATTAGAAACTTTGTTGGAGAAGCAGTGAAACATCTATTCAGCCATTATCCTTTACCTGCTTCTTCCTTTAGGGGTCACTAGAGCCTATATCCAGCTGCCACTGTTAGGGGTGGGGTACACCCTGGACATGTCCCAGGTCCATCACGGGGACACTTAGAGACAAACAACTATTCACTCTTTCACACCTAAAGGCAACTTAGAGTTACCAGTTAGTCTAACTTTCATGTTTTAGGTCTGTGGGAGGAAACCGGAATACTCGGAGAAAACCCACACATGCACAGAAAGAACATGCAAACTCTACCCAGAAAMGTCTCTGACTGGGATTTGATCCAGCATTCTTGCTGGGAGGCAACAGCTGTACCAACTGAGCCACTGTGCCATGAATGGTAAAACATTTTTTAAAAGTAAAGGCCAGATTAAGAAAAATAAATCAAATAAAAAATACAAACTTTTAGGATTTCTATGCCCAACCCCCCCGGTTTTTGTTAAATTAATATTGTATGATGGAAGAACTGAAGCATAGAGGCCGCTATCTGTGTAGGTGCCAGGTGCTGTTGCTGAAAGGATTTTCCTTAAAATGGCTCTGGGCTCGCACCTGAACCCTGCCTGTCCCATTTCTACATTTACATCCTTGAATGAGTGTCGTTTGGAAGGCAGKATTTAAGAAACTACACAAATAAGACTTAAATGACAAGAGAACTTCATGCTCCAAAAGTTGCTGTGATTATAAATTTTACACTAAGACCTTGATTCATGACTGTATAATTCCACATTTCAAGGATTTTTTTTCTCTCTCGATCATGTCCTTTACTGATGCCAGCCTTATATGAGGAAAACATGGACAAGGAGCACAGAAGACAGGGTGAGGACTGACAGGACTGGAGAAAGAGTAGAGCAAGAGTAGTGGAAGTGGAATAAGAAAGGTTAGAGAGTAAAGGAATCAAAAAAGGAGAGGGAAAATGAAATCTGAAACGTGTTGGAGGAAGAGCTGTGTATTTATCCTTTCTTCTGTCCTCAGGTGTTTCACCTACCGAGCTTATCCAACTTGCACCAGAGGATCATGTGATCAACACAAAGTTTAATGGCGATCAGCGCAAAGGAAGACAGGCAGAAAACAATAAAAATGGCTTCATTGTTGATTTGGTTTCCAGGGCACATAGTGACAATGGGCATCTGTTAAAAAAAGATTCCCATGTCATTGTTTCTCCAAAACTCTACCRGTTCACACAGACGCTTGGCCAATCATAGTAACAAATTCTGCAGAACAATAAATCATCTCAGAAATTAYTGTGATAAATTATATTGTTTGGAGACCATTTTAAACTAATATAATGACCTCTTGGTTGTGGAGCTTGTGGAAGTTTATGAAATTAACGTATGGAGAGAAAAAAGTGACAATGTCACMTGAATCAGAGATTGGGAAAACAACACAGAACACCTGATGAAGTTGTAAAATCACTAACCACCTTATCCAGTATGTATCTTCCACTGGATTCATTAAATAAACGATGTCACCCTCACACTGATTATGAAATTTACGTAGTGTGAACATTTAAAAAATAAACAACTCTCAACAAACCCAAGATTCAACATGGTGCTCTGAGGCATCACCAGCTAAAAGAAGGCGTTGGAAAACCAAAAACGCTCTGCTAGCTAAACGCCTGTTCATGGGCTCTCATGCTACAGAGGTTAGAGACCATGCTCTTGGCAAATAACTGATGTGAGAGATCCCTATGCTAAGGAGTAGAAAATAGGGTAACAAAGAAAACAAGCAAGCAAATGAAATTGATCAACCTCATTTTAATTTATCATGAGATTGAATTGTTKCTTATCATGACATGCCTACCAAATGCAGATTTTTTATTATCTCTAGTTTTCTCATTAAATCCTACATGGATGAAGATCTGTTCAACAGCTTTACAGAGGACTCTTGAGGACAGAGAGACAAAAGAGACAGCCGTCTAGTTTAAATATATAGTCTTATATAAAGTAAAAAAAAAAACGTAACTAAATGCACATACACTGTATTGCCTTACAGACACACAACCTGAACCAGTGTTAGGAACAGAGAGAGAGAAGACAACGGAGTTAAAGTGAGGCTGACTAACAGAGTATGACATGTCCAAGGCCTATCACTAATTATGCCCTTGTCRCTACAAACTGTTCCTTTACCATGATCTGCTGAAACAAGAGACAGAKGCAATTACTGCTCCACCTTATGAATTGTCTTAGTAATAAAACCCCAAAAWCAAGACTTGTTTTGTTAGAAAATATTACAGCTAAAAAAGCAGATCATGTATTTTTCAAAGCCTAAAGCAATATTATAAATTTGCACATCGAGTGGAAAATTCTGTCTTTCCTCATACAGCATAAGTTTGTTTGATTAAAAACCACCACCCCAAGAAAGGCCATCATAAAAGTAACTGTTTTTAGATTTGCTCCAAGTGGGAAACACATCCAACCAATGAGTGTTGAGATGTTGCACAAATACAGATGTTAAAGTGTCTCCATCCAACTCAGTGTTGTGTTTTTTACAGATAACTTCAAAAACAGTGGGTGGAAAAAATAAATGAGGGATCAGCTGTGGTTGGTGTACAGTTTCCAGTTTGAAGTAGTCCTTGTGATGTGGTGTTGCTTCCTGTTGTCAGCGAGCTCATTAACGCCACTTTGTAAATTCRTGGAGCTGTTAAAGCTGGGCACAATTTCCTTTAAGCAAACTTCAAAAAGAAGAAAAAAAGGTAACCAGCTTGTTTTCAGCTGTCAACTAAGCTGTTTTAGGCTTAGTTGTATGTGGTATTGATTAAATTAGTCCTCTTCGTGTTGCTAACGTGGTTGATTTGTTGTGGCAGTACATGAAACTGAGCTAAACATGACATGATAGCAGCTGAGGCTCATTTATAACACATATTACAAGTGTGACATTGTGATWTCGCACAAGAACGTGCATCYWTCCATTTTCTTYACACACTTTTTCTTTTCTGGTTCAKGAGGGAGCTGGTGCTCAAATCCAGCAGTCATTTAGCAAAGGTAGGGCAAGTTTATCATGARATTGTTCATTATGTTATTTTAAAAGTTTGATTAATGAGCAACAGTGATGACAGGGTGTAGGGGTTCATCATGTATCTGATGTGTTGCCAGTTCGAATCTCCACTCCATCCGTCTCAGCCATTGTCCCCTTTGGCAAGACGCTTCACCCACCCTGCCTGCTGGTAGAGGTCAGCGGGCTTAGTGGCACCAGTGCTTTCCCCAGCGTAGCTGTAGCTACAAAGTAGCTTACCACCATCAGTGTGTGAATGGGTGAATRATTGTAGTGTAAAGATCTTTGGAGTCCTTGGACTTGATAARGTAATGAAAGCTCAGGTCATTTACGTTCAAAATGGTTGCAACATTACCATTTTTCAACATTTAATGATCATGTTGGTGATATGTTTTCACTCAACAATTGTTAACCTTTAAAGTGGACATRTCCTGCAAAATACACTTTAGTYATATGCATTTTGTTGTGTACTTGCAGTGTCTAGAAATGCAGACAATTTTGAATTTAGTTTCTCCCGGTGCTGCATAGATCATCGTAATCTTTATATTATATTGTAATTAAAACATTTATATGCTGCTGGTTAACTCTGGTGCCAAACTACAAAAATAGCCGAATGGRGCGGAGTGGCAGTTAGACCTGGTGGGGGCTGAAGTGCCTCATTTGGATTAAAAGAGACCACTCCAAAACGATGAAAGCATGRTTTGTCCTCTTTAAGATGGTCATGTAAATGTATTCTTTTTTTTTCATTTTAACAAAGACTTGACCAAAAAACTTACATGTTTGAAAACATCACAAATGTTTCCACACATTTTGGAAACTCCTTTGCGATTTTAAATCACAACTTGTTGCAAACTGTCACAGCCCAGTAATACACTGCATTAAAGTATAAAGAAAAAAAAAACTACCATTACCCAACTAGCTATTTAACTTGAATAAAAAAAACACCAAATAAACAACATCATCGTGAGGAACTACAGACTAATATTCTCAAAAGCGATATTCCATTCTTTTGCACCAAAAAGTCATCAACATCATCTTCTGAGTCTTGTTCACACATGTCAAAGTTTTGCATCCAACGTGAGAACATTTCCAAACACACTGATTGTGCCCACATTGTGAACAGCTAAATTAATATGATTATCAAACATCCCACATGCCAGCTTTGATTTCTGGCAGCCCTCTCATCCTTCCACAATGCACACTTACACGGGTAAAACGGAAATGATGTGGCGGGTTGTGCCATATCTCTCTGCCGGACACAGTTAAAAACAAGTTCTCATTGGCTGGGCAGGATTTCCACAGCAGCAGCACCTCATCATCTATGAGGCTGGGCTAATTAAACAGCAGGGGAAAAAAGAACACTAAGCCTTTCAAAACACTTTTTCTTCTCCTGCTACGAGCTTTAATGTAGCTCAGAATGAAAAAGGGAATGGAAACTGAGCTAAAGACAGTATTACACATCTATGCGCCAACTCTTCCATTAGAAAACTTACCTTTCAGCACTCAAGCAAACTTTCCAACGATTCAAGAGCTGMAAAAGATAAGAAAACACATATTARATGACTGTATACTTATGCTGTCATAAAATCTGTTGTAATAAAAAAAACTGATGTCACTCGTGGCAAAGAGTTCCATGTGTTACGACAGGTTCTGTAATTGGAAAATAATTCAAATCACAGTCGGCACAATGCAATGATCTGCTGCCTCGCACTAATTTAGCTTCTTACAGTGTAAAGGGCAAACATTTATTACCCCGTGATTACGTTTGGCAGGCGTATGTGTCTGACACTTTGAAGCCCTTGTAATTTTCCGACCCGTTACAGAAATCCTGTCTTCACCACTGATATTCAATCACTGCTTTTGAATGTGCTGCTCTTCTCGTGGATTTCATTCACTGAGCCACGAAATCAAAAGAGGGAAGTTGGAGCTGGAGAGACACCAAGCAGATTTTTCTATATTATCACCCGCCGCTGAAAGGCAACGGAGGAAAGACAATGCTGTTGCCCGTCTCTGTACAATTAGAAAAATACTTCATCAGTCACTAAGCTGATTTCAATGAACCTATCAGAAAATAATTATTGCATGAACAGCTAATGGATTTTAGCAAACACARAAAYRACTACACCCAAGTCAGTTTTRTAGACGACGGTAAAGCTTTGTGTTATGGTAGCTGAGACTGATGTTGAACAAATAATCTAAGCTGTAACGGTGAAATATCTTAATACCATGTGGAACTGAAGATAATGTTTTTGGTAACGTTTGACCAAATTGTACTTATACTCAAGAAAAAGTAGATGAACGAAGTTTAAACACCATTATCAGTCACAGTGTTTGTTCCAATCCTGAGCTCTTTTTTGTTTGTTTTTTAATTCCAAGAGGAATCCAGAAATTGATTGATAGTTTTACAACCAGGAAAAGCAGAAAGGAAGAGAAGAATGCAATAAAAGAGCCACCTGTCAAGGGGTCCTGACACTATAGTTTTAGGGCCATTAGGTGGTCTTGAATGTGGCTACTCCAGTTCAATCTGAACTGCACAGAACAGTTGGTGTAAGAAAAAAAGAGAGGAAAACTTATTTGCTCTGTGGAATAGTGTGTAAATATTGAAAAAAACATTTGTAAATTTTTTGAGAATTGGGTGTACATCTACAACTGCTCAACTTTTGGATTCAAGTTGAATGCCACAGCAAAGTGATCTTAAAGTGCCTGTGACATGCATAGCCTTCAAATACAAAAAAATAGTAAAAGAAAGCCTCTTTATATTTAAGAAATTTGACATAAAACACATGCTTTTATCCAGTTTTGTCACATAACTGGCATATTTTCTTTTGACCTTAGCTCAGCCAAAATGAAACAGGAAGTGACATCAAAGAGGAACTCTTGTTTTTAAAGAGGAACTCTTTAAGAAAGAAAATTTGGTGGTCTTTGTTTATTGAAACAATGGGCCTCATGCAAGAAC